TAAGATGGTGAAGGGTTTATAATGTAGGGGTGTGGTCGTATAGAGTGAGCTGAGAGTTTAGAAGTTATAATAGAAGCATATAAGTGTGGCAGAAGGCCATTGGGCAAAAGTATCCACAGTGAAGTAAAGATGGTAAGTTAGAAAAGCAAAATGAACCTTGTGGCATCTGTCCATTGGGTTAGAAAGTTCTGCATTGCCTTGTAACAAGGAACTTGTGACTGCTTTAAGCTATGGCTGAGTGTTTGCTCCTCTAAAACCTCACAGCCTCTGAGACTGATGTTTATCAGAGCAATAAATGGCTCTTAGCCAGAAAATAGTCCCATCCCTTCATTACAAAGTGGTGACAATGATATGCAGTGAGATGGAGAGTCGACACGACCATCTCACTGGTTCCACCCCCTCAGGACACCCTATCATTGGTGTTTTTGCTGCCCAGGGGTGTCCCCCTGCCCCCTTCACTCACCCCACGCTCCCTGCCATGACGCAGCCCCCGTCAGCTTTGGGGACAGGGCAGCGGCAGCCGGCGACGTCCTCGTCGTGGGACATGCCCAGGTTGTGCCCCATCTCATGGGCCATGGTGGAGGCAGCTCCGATGGGGTTCGTGCTGTGGTCCTGTGGGAAAAGGAGCCCAGCCTGGGTTAGGGGCCCTTCTGGCTTCTCCATGTGTCTCCTCACGCTGCCTTTACGCTCAGGTGAAGGAAGACACAAGTTGGACATGGTCCCTCAAGAGGCCCAGGTTGGTCTCTCAGGGCTGACAGTGAGCTTAGACTGCTCCAAAAGTGATTCTTTGTGGTGGCTCTGGCAGGTCACAGGTCCCCACAGCCAACCTGTCCTGCTCCTGGAGAGGGATGAGGAGCACAGCCAGTCCCTGACAGCCTCCTAAAATCCCAGATCCTGTGTCCGTGGAACTTCTCTGGGAGGCTTCCCAAGTGTATCAAAGGTACCACAGGTACCTAGCTGTGTGTCCACAGCCCCAGCACCTCTCTGGGGGTCACTCTGATAGGGGATGGAGATGCCAGGGACCAAATCCAGCTGTGAGGCAGCAGAAGGGGACAGCTGGAGGAGGGGGTGGCCCTGGTGGCAGTGCAGGGAGGGCAGGGCACAGCACCCACCTGGTTGACGCCGCCCGAGTCCCTGGTGCACATCACCAGCTTCTTGGCCAGCCCCACGGTGTTGCCATGGAAATCAACGCCCCTGTGGGATGGAGATGATGGAGATGCCACCATGGCCACCTGCCCTCGAGGGTGACAGGGTGGTGTCCCCCCACCGTGTCCTTACGTGATCAGCTGGGCATTGTCATGGGGCTTCTTCCTCAGCAGCTCCGACTCCCGCCAGTGCAGGAAGTTGTCCAGGGTCACCTCGGGGTTGGGGCTGACGGTGATTTTGTCCCTGTGGTTCCACACCTCCAGGCCAATGAGGGCCACCCTCAGGCGGAGGGGCTGGTACAGCTGGGGTGGGACACAGCCAGAGGGAGCCTGGATTGGGGCTGCAGCAGAGCAGGGAGGTCCCACCTGCCCCAGGAGCTGCAGCCCAGCCCAGGATGCTCCTCACTGGGCAATGTCACCTCTGTCACCTCAATAAATGACACCAGCTGGGGTGGCCATGGACACAGGATTCCCTCCCAAACCTCTGGGTTCTCTCTTGGCTGGTGGAGGCTGGGATGTGGCTCTCACACTGCTAACCAACAACTGGGGCTGGAGCAAAGCCACCAGGAAAGCCAGCACGGCCCAGTGCATCCCTCCCTTTGTTAGCAGCCTGAGAGTGGCCACAGGATGTGCTCCCAGGGATTACAGGATAAAATTTCCCTTGTGGACAGAGCTGAGCCCCTCATCCTGCCCACGCTGCACGTGTGATTGGGATGGGTCACACATGGAGGGATGTGGTCACCCTGTGGGGCTGAGGTTTGCTCCAGCTCCACCACCCCACCCGTGCCAGGCTCTGTGCCACCTCCCCTGTGCCCACAGCGGAGCTGGGAGGGGATCCAGAGCCCTGGGCTCACCTTGTCCACGTGGTTCACGATCTCCTTCATGCGGTTCTGCACCGTGCGCAGGTCCTTGTGCTTCCTGAACTGTGGGGAGGACACAGAGAGGCTCCCAGGTGAGCTCCCCACTGCAGGTGTGACAGCAAACCCGCAGCACCATTGTCCCCACTTTACCTCCTGGTTATCTGCCACCAGCACCAGCTCCACGTACCGGGGACCTTTTTGGACCGGACCTGATTTCTGAGAGGGAACAGGAAAAGGGGGCTCAGCTTCTAGCTTGCCAAGCCACCAGCTGACCCACATCCCATGGTGTGTGTTGGATCCTGGAGGGTCTCCCAAGGTCAGCAGGTCTCCTAGCTCAGCTCTAGGATGGTGTTTTGCTGGGTTTCAGACCTCTTCCAGCCCATGGATGCTGGGATGCTGCAACCCCACATTTCTCCTCACAGACAAAAGCAAGGCACGATTCTTCCCAAGAATATTTCTGGGATTCACATTCCCTGAACCTCAGAGAAAGGAAAACCAGTTCTTATCTTATTAGCTGTGCCTGTGTTTGTGCAGAAGTAGAATGCAATATGGAGATTATTTATCCAAAGTGATGGGGTTTTGTTACTAGGCCTATTAGGGCCAAGAGTGTGTGTCAGGACTGTGCGGTGACAGTCATGAGATTCTGTGCATTGTGTGCAAAGTTGAGTGCTTGGCAGGTTCATTTTTTAGACATATAGAATAATATAGTATAATGAAGTAATTAATTAGCCTTCCAATAAGATGTTAATTCTGGTAAGATGATAATTCTGATAGGAAGATAAGCACCACTCTCTTACACCTCGTTGGGGTTGCCAGCAAACGCCATAGGATACCCCACCAGGCTCTGCAGGATCTCAGATGCTCCTGCTCACAGCACAGGGTCCAGGGATGTCTTTCCACCACAAACCCCGTGTTGGGGCACTGACATCACCCCATGGGACAGGATCATGGCCGAGATGCTCGGAACCCCCTCCTCCCTCCCAGGACCGGCTCAGGAAGGAGCAGCGATGCCGTCCCATCCCATCCCATCCCATCCCATCCCATCCCATCCCATCCCATCCCATCCCATCCCATCCCATCCCATCCC